CATTGATTTCAGATCTTAAATGTGTTTGACTTATCCATCAAATAATATCATTGTCAATAAAGAATATAACCCTAAATCACCAGAAAACAGTGCTCAAGATTTACTATTTCAGTAAAATCCCTTAGTGTACTGTCTTCTTGACCAATCCTTTGTTTAAAAATATCAATCTTTTTTCTTGCTAAATGTTCCATATTTTATATAGTTAATATTAAGGATATTTTATAGAAAAATAACTCTCTTTACCCCTAACAATGTACATTAACAAGTGTCCTTGCAAACTCTAAAAGAATTCTTAACCATCTAGTCTTTTAGGTTGAATTAAAACCTAATTGTTATGCAATTGTGGAAAAGTTATGAAGGTTGTATAATAAGACAAAGAAATTTTAATACTGCTGGACCAGAAACATTTATAATGCCAACTTTTACTATGTTGTATTAGTATTGATGGGTTTTCTAAATAATTTGAAATTTTCAAATATGAAATTTAGATATATTAATTGTATGATATTTAAATATTACTTCAAAAATTTTATTTATGACATAGAGTATAAGAAAAGAAATAAAGAAACATAACTTCTTTTCATTAAACACCAGTGACAATAGTATGTATTGTATATATATCGTATGACACTCAAGAATAAATCGCTTTTGCCATGGGGTTGGAGCATTAGACTAGCACACTGAAGGGCCATAAGTTCAATTTCCAGTCAAGGGCACATACCTGGGTTGCAGGTTTGATCCCCTGTTTGGGACACATGCAAGAGGCAATTAATTGATGTGTCTCTCCCACTCCTTCTTTCCCTTTTACTCTCTCTAGAAAAGCAATGGAAAAAGTGTCCTTAGGTAACACTTTTGAATGAATTGCTTTCAAAAAACTATTTCATAGTATTATATTAGGTATTGTTTTTCCTTTCACAGAAATCCAGCATATTTTTTAAGAAAATACTGATAGCACAGAAACTGACAATAAAAACAAATTTAATCTTTTTGGAATAAGACAGTAAGTATGAATTAATAAAGTAAGAATCTTACAAATGTAAACTTGAGGCAAGTAATAGACTAGCAAAGTTGTTCCCATTGGGAAGGCTCTAATACCTCTCACTTAATCTATTTTATTTTCAAGATATGTAACATAATTATTGTAAGCTCCATGTGGCTTTATGTGTTGCATATATATTTATTACGCATTTATTTCTTTTGAACATTAGTAGGAGCTAAAACTATCTAAAGATATATTACTTAAATATTCCAAATCTAAGTAAAGATAGGGGCAAAATATCATTTAATAAGTCACTTTCTGTGCACATGCATTTTGGTAAACTATAAACAATGAAAATATATAAATGCTTTGGCAGTCTACAAAATTAGACATTCCTGTTCATCCCTTTTGCTTTCCTTTTTGGAAGGCAAACACAAAATCACTGCAATCAAAAAGCAAAATCTGCTCTATTTTAGTGGTTCTTATTTTAGTGTTAAATTTACCAACATGGAGTTTTTACATGAAAATTGTCTTCACTTTTTCAGAAAGTAACTCTATGCTTTAGATTAAAAAGAGAGTCCATTTAAAGAGTTATTTCAAAATAGGCATAATAAAAACATTAAAACTTTTATTGGTATAAGGTATTCCATATTGAAAGCAACAAATGAACAGAAGTCTGTTTCTCCAACCCTCTGAACACACAAGTGCCATTAACCCTGAAGCAGGCTGTATACATAGCCTTGAGAATTCAATGGGTCTGCCTTCTCAATAAACACTTCCTTTTAATGTCAGTCATATCCACAAATTACCAATGTACCTTGGTATAAAGCCTCATTTGTTTGCAATCTAGTGTGATATCAAATTATTCCAGGACAGTCTATCTTTTAATATTTGGTACATATTTTTTTAACAACGTGCTTGTGGTTATGTGGAAGAAACATAGCAAGACATCGAGTTCTTAAGAATGAAGATGTAAGGGTCCTCTGAGACAATACTTTTAAATACTTTTATATAGATCAGATTAAATAAATTTGTATTAAAATATAAATAATAGCAGAAAAAAATTATTTAAGAAAGTTGTGATTTATCAGACCCATTTGTTGTAATACTTGTTCCAAAGCATAGGAAAAGAAAATATATTTCTTTTCAGAAATTGAATTTTATTTTTAAAAAGCAGTGTGGATGAACTACCTTTCTATTTCACATTCGGGTTGCATATTTAATTACTTAGTGTTTAAATAATTTAAGTTTGAATTGGGCTTGAACTTTTCTTTTCTTAGAATTTTCAGATATATGGCCAGGGGACACCTGACCCTTGAGTTAATGCATTTCTCTAAAAATCCATGTACCAGAACCTGATTCAGATCTACAAAGGGTCAGCTATGGGAGTTTAAAGCCTGACTCATATTAGAGGTTCTCAAGTAGTGAACTCTCTAAAGGTATGGATTCTTTAAATTGTCTCAAAATTAAAGATAATTTACAGCCAGGCATTCAAGGCAGAGTACTAAGTACAATTTCAGAAAGCAGAAGTTATGACATAGAATAGCTGAAATGTTTTCATTTATTTACTGCTATAACTCTTATAATCCATTAGAATTTAGTTATTACATATTGCCCCCTCCCCCGCCAACTTTTATTGTCTATGAGTGGATTAGTCATTGTGCTGCTTGGCCAGAAAAAGAATGTCCTGAATTAAAAAAAAAAAGAAAAGAAAGAAAGAAAGAAAGAAAAGAAAAAAGAAAAAAGAAAAAAGACATGATAGCAATTTAAGGTTTGCACATGGTACAGAAGAAAATGGATTAAAGTTGCCTATCCAAACATGACAAACAGGACAAATAGGCAGCTTCTTCCACTTTCTTTCTGCATCCTATTTTGATAGGAGAAGTCAGAAAGCAGAGCTTTGTTTAGTTGAGTTGAGAGTAACAACTGGTTTGCTTGATGTTCTTAGCAACATTCTGACTCAACAGAGGTGTTAACATCTGTTTCAGAGCTGAATATTTGCAACTTGAATGATTCACCAAAATGCAACTGCATTGAAAGGACAAACGCAACCTTTGTATAAGACTTTTCAACATTTTCTTTACAAAGTAGAGCACTTCTAGGCTTTCACAAAATTTTTGTGTCAGGTTTCTTCTTTTTCTACACTTAAAAATCTATGTAAGCAGGCCATAGTCATTGAAGTCAAAGATGGTGTATAGAGGGTTCAAATCAATAAAATATGGCAGCAAAATGTAGACAGAACCATAAGTATATTAGACTTATGAAGGTAAAATCTTCATTCCACTGGTAAACCAGGAAAAGTTACACAATCTTCAGTTTCTTCATCTATAACTTGGGCATAACAAAAGTCTTAGGATGATTAAATAGGTCAATACATTTAAAGCATCTATAACAGAGCCCAGCATATAATAATAACTATATAAATAGTTATAATCATCATTACTATTGTTATCATCAATTATTTTCTCAGAAGCTAAATTAAATATCTAACAGATTATCACATAATCTTGTGGGTCCATAACAACACAACATTTTCAAAATTACCCCTTTTTAAGTAGTTTTTTTCAATTTCAAATACTTTTGTGCATCCAAAGAATGAGCAAATATACAATAGAAAGGAAAAGCAATGTTAATACCTTAAACAGAATATTAAACAACATCAAATACCTTTCTGAAGCTTTTGATCACAATTGTTATAGTCATTTTCCTTATTTGGGAAACTATTCTATCTAGTAATTGGTTGATATTTTTGTGAGGGAAGTTTCATTTTCTTTCAAAAGTAAGAGAGATTAGGAATAAGAAAAAAGAACCACAGTTTCTTCTTGTTATTAGAGGTAATTTAAATAAATAAGTATGCCTGGCAGAAATATGTGATTTTTTTAATGTGAACACAAGTGTCAGTAAATACAACTTGCTTTAGGACACAAAGAGTTCCTTGAGGTTCAGATTTCCAGTCACTATACAAGTATACTTCCCAAGAACCAAATTATTTTTTTTCACTTCTTTATATGTCTAAGCCATACTCAGCCTTGATAGGTTATGTCAAATACTTTTTCCCCCAAGAAATCCAACAGTTCCATTAGAATTAATTAAGTATCTCTTCCTCTCTCTCTCTCTCTCTCTCTCTCTCTCTCTCTCTCTCTCTCTCTTTCTCTCTCTCTCTCTCTCCTCTTCCTCTCTCATCTCTC